CTGTACAGGGCACTGCCAGTAAAGGATGAGAATGCTACATAAGTACTAAAAGGTGTAGTGCCAGAGTAATTTCTGTTGAGCAAACATAACTAATAAGCTCAAGAGTGGGTTTTTGCTCCCCTGCACCTATTACAATGCATGTCACTGAGTAGGTACTCAAAGTATGTTCACTGCATAAATAAGGAGTTTTTTCCAGATATCTGATATTAAGCAAATATACAAAAGCTTAATACATGGCAGAAAATAGAGAAAACACCTATTCCTTTCTCACAGAATGAAAATGCAGTAATAGAATGGAAAGGTGTTTTATAAATTATATCTGATATACACACATGAAGCATATTACTGTTAGAAGAAACAACTTGAGGAATATTTTATTTTGAAATAAAACACACACATACAAAATTAAAATTAAAATTAGCTTCCTCCCCCCCCCCCACCTCCTGAATATAGTCAGTGTAATGCAGACTGGATAGAAGGACAGACACAGGAAAAGATCTAGCTTTTGTCAATGGCAACCTGAAGAAACCAAAGATGAGTAATGCTACAGGAATGATCCTTTAGCACCTGTTTTAAAGCACCCCAGGCCCCCTTCTCTTACAAACCCTCAGGAGCCCAGCACCACACCTCCTCGTTCCCCTGCAATGATCACTCACGCTCCACGATGGCACTAATGTAATAACTGAAGATGTGGGCCAGTTTGTCCATGTCATGCTCCGACTTGCAGGTCAGGCTGAACCTGTCTACTAATGCTGTAAATCCTGGCCAATAAAGCAAAAGTTACTACGTTAGCTGCAAATCCTAAACTTTTAGGCCCCTTTCCCTCCACACATCAGGCTAATGTAAAGGAAACAGGTCCCTTGGAACTTAGTAAAATATGGTGTTACTTAGAAACTACTCAGGGCCAGGCTGGCTGCCGCCGTGGGAATCCAGAGGGCTACCCTGTTTCCAGCAGCTGCAGATGCTGAACATTTATTTGCCTGCAGCGCGCTTTCCATCTAAGCCAGCTATCTCTTCCCCCACCCTCTCAGGCTGCCTGGCCAAGGGAAACCAGGATTTCCCCTCATGTGTGGGCCAGAGAAACCACTGACGAGGAGAATGGATTAAAGCTTTACGGAGAACTCATATGGTGAGGACAGGCACCTTATATTACCCATCTTCATGACACATAGAATAAATTCCATTAAGTATTTGTCACACGAGAGACTCTCAAAGTGGCTGTTAGATCGCTGACGCCTAGAACAATGGCGGGCACACACTTGTGGACCCCAAAAATGAATTAATTGAAGGAATAAAGTAATTGGACAAAGCAGAACGCTTAATGGAAAATGCTCGGGGTTAGAACACTTGGTTGAAAGCCCGCCCTGTGGTCCTCTCAGTCTCAACTTCACCGACTCTGCAGCGAGCTCAGGGGCTAAACCAGTTCATTCCAAACCGTGTCTCTAGCTCTGAAGATGAAGACCCTTCAAGTTTGCTGCGGCGGCCGCGGGGTGCAGTTAGAGCGCCCCTTAGCTCGCCGGGGGCCAGGGCTGTAACCGCCGCGGCCTCCAGCAGCTTAGGCCCAACGGCCGCTCCGCTGGCAGGCCAGAGGACTGCAAGCGACTGCCCTCGCCCTCACCCGTCACGTGGACGCCTAGGAGGACGCCGTGGGCCGTGGCGAACTGGGGCTCCGATCCCCCGCGCTTCCCGAAGACCAGCAGGTCGGGCAGCAGCGCCGCCAAGCGGGCCTCCACTGGCCAGAGAGGCGGCGTCGCCTCCCGCTCGCCAGTCGCCATGGCGGCGCCGGGCTGCCAGCGGAGCTCCCGGAAACAGGACCGTGCGCGCAGTAGCCAGTCCGCGCCCGCGGCGCCCGAGGGCCCTCCCGCCAACCAATCCGTGCGGGCTTCCCTGGGGCAACGCCAATCGGAAGCGGCCGCGGCCCCGCCCCGCCTGCTTCCGCAGCCCCGCCCCGCCCGCTTCCGCAGCCCCGCCCCGCCCGCTTCCGCAGCCCCGCCCCGCCTGCTTCCGCAGCCTGCGCCTTGCTGACTTCGGAGGGGACGCGAGCGGTCGGGAGGCGAGACGGGCGGCGCTTTCAAAGGAGCGGAGCTGTCATTTTTAATCCTGAAATGTGGAGGTGAAGACGCTTCAACAGTAAAGCAGATAATACGGGATAAATATAGTCTTTCCCCTTTATCACCAGAGGAGTCTTGGGTCACCTCTGAATTTGCTAATGATGAGTTTCATTGGCATAAATCTGACTAAAGCTACTGAACGCTGCCAGTCCTTTTCCTTAATTGTTATAAAGAGTTTCTTCTCTCTTTTACCAGCCAGAACAGGGCTACTGCTCTCATTATGAGTGCTTGCTCCCCGGGGGGCTCTTTCTCTCTCTGTTGTTCAGATTTCTGGACACCATAAAACAGGATGAGCATACTGTGGATTTTAAACTTTATCAGAAAAGTATTTTTGCTTTGGTTTTCTAAGGAAATGAAAAAATCTAAAAGGTACACCTTCACTACTTTAGGTCCATAACAGCTAATAAATCTAGGCCATTGTGATGATAAATGAAAGGGCTAATTTTACTCATGGAATTACTTCAATATATTTTGATGAACTCTTCCAGTAGTAACACCAATATACCATCAGGCCACAGGTGACAGCTGAGTAGAAGGGCCAAAAGGGAAGAAGAAATTAAGGGGGGATAAAACCAACAGGCCCAGACACAAGTTTGACACTATCCACAGAGGTAACAATTTCAACATAAACACAACCTAGGACCCAGGGGTTGCAGACTCCTCAAAAGCCAAATCACTTTTTAGTATTT